TTTTTTTTTTTTTTTTTTTTTTTTTTTTTTTTTTTTTTTTTTTTTTTTTTTTTCTCAAGGAACATGTGCGCGCGGCTTTTCTTCTGTATACCCAAAGTCGCGTCCGACTAATTCTTGGCAAACACGCTCCAAAGGAGAAAAGGGACAGGTGCACGTATCTACATGCGCTGCCTCGGTTGGGGTACTCGAGAGGGAAAAGGGGATTTTTCCCCCTATCCTTTCGTCTACCGCGTTACATACGTGTGTGTATGTATACGGTACACATGGGTGGTCCGGGAGATTTCTTCTTTTCTTTGCACTGCGGTGGTGAGAATCAGTTTTTGAAGAAGGGAAATCACGGCGCGAGCGATTATCTAGTTTTTTTTTTTTTTTTTTTTTTTCATTTTTTTCATGCCGAGGACAAGAGGCTGAGGTTCCCTCGTCGTTTCTTTGCGCTAAGCTGCGCTTTCGAGAGGTGTGAAGAGTTTTATTTCTGCTCCGAGGGATACGTATCGGCCATTTTACTTTGAATCGTCGTGAACGCGTGCAAACTCTCTCTCTCTCTTTTTTTTTTTTTTTTTTTTCCACGCAATTCGATGTATATTTCGGTTAATATATTCGGTTACGCGCATGTATATGACGCACAAAATATATCCGTATGACGTTACTTTTCAATAATTAAGCTATTGTATTACCTACCCGCAGATTTTCCACGAACAATGCGCGCAATCGTTGAATGTTTCACGGTATTGTTCGTGCGTTCAAATTTACGCAAAAGATTTTACACGTGAGCGATAATGATTCAATCGGCTTTTGATGCGTGTGGCGGGAGAGGCGAGTCGTATATCGGCGCGTAATACGAGTGCATCGCCATCTTATGAATAATATAGCGCGAAATATCGCGGTTGGGGGGGGGGTACATGACGAGGAAACTCGTCGAGTGTTTAGCCAGAGACGACAAAAGAGCCTCCGAGGACGAATCGATTTTCTCGCAATTTCTTTTCTCTCTAAAGTCTCAATGTCAATAAAAGACTGTGGATCAGCCATCCTGACTAAGCTCGTGTGGGACGTTTTCGTGGCACCTCTGACCGATTTCCTGAAATAAAAGAAACTGAAAAGAGAAAATAAATGTGACGTTGTAAAGAGAACCTTCGTGGTAAGCTTAAACGTTTGGACACGTAAAATTGCACTTTGGATAAACGCTGGAGGGGGAGTTGCAGGTGGAGCAGGGCTTGAAGCTTTACCGAGCGCACAAACAGCAGGCGGCGGTGCGCAAGTGGCAGGGCGCCCTCGCGAGCATCGGCCGGAGGGAGGACAAGTTCGCTCTGCTCGGCTATCTGTACCAGGCTTACATGGACTGGGGCAAGTACAGGTGAGTCGACGCCCACAATCCTATTGTTATCCAAATTTATGGATTTCTGTTCAATTTCACAAGTATATAAGCTGAGCTGTCGAGCTCGAAGGCATCTTTTTTCTTTTATTCAAGAGACTGACGGGGGGGGGGGTGCTTTTATTTATTTATTTTCTCTCTATACGAGCCTGGGTGATACGGCCAGATATGGCTGTTTTTTTTTTTAAAGCGTGTATGTCCGGCGGGGAAATTGTGCGCGGTAACAGATATCCCAACGAAGAGATTTTAAGAGTTATTCGATCTGTGCGTTGAACTAGGCATTTTTACTACTAACGTGAGAGATTTTTTTTAATGCATTGTGTGGACCGCCTCTGGATTTTCAAACGATTTACAAGGAAATTTTTTTCCCCAAAATAAAGCGCTTTATACTAGCTGAATAAATTTTTTATTCATCACTACTCGCAACGCAATGTTGAGAAAAACTTTTTTTTCTGCCAGATAAGTAAAATATATTTTAAATATAAAATATTCAATNGGGGGGGGGGGGGCGTATAATCATGTTTGAGCACATTTCGCATTACGCGGGTCAAAGCTTTTAATCTAATATGTACGCGCTCGAACAATAGCCCGCGTTTCAATGATGTCGATGTCGACACCAAACTTGGATGACTGGCGATCGTTTTATCAGTTTTTCGATTTTTTTCTTTTTTCTTTTTTTTTTTTTTTACCCGTTAATTGTAACGTCAACTGTTGTGACAAGTTTGGTTGGACCTGAGAAGTATTTTCTTGTCTCGAGATTATACACCTGTTACTCATTAGTTTCCGATAGTTATCTATCTATGATTGGTATAGGTGGTGAACAATTTTCATAGCTTTTTTTCCATCCATGAATTTTGCCCTCGTCGTCCTTAATACTTATATTAAATATTTTATTTTAAAACAACATTTTTGAAACCATTGCGTACCCAATTCCCAAAATATGTTTTCGTACTCATGTGAGGAACGATCCTCCCTGTGGTGTAAAAATAACGTACTTGGTTTCACTAGTTGCATTGTATGACACCTACACACTTTACTATTTGTACATCTAATTGAATCAACTACGAAAGACTATACGTCTAAGAAGTACAAGTATATATTATCGACAAATATTGGATCTTAAGCTTTCGTTGCCTTTGAGGAGTGTAATATACTATTTTGGCCTCTACCTCGACGTAAAACAACAAAAGATTAAACGTACTACTTGTAGAAATAAGACTGGCTGTAATCATTGTCATTAAAAATAAAACAATGTATGATTATTGGAGGTATAATTTGGAAAGCATATCTGCTCAAATTGCGGGAAAATTAGTGTTTTTCTTCGTGGCCCACAAACCGCGAGTCAAGCTATTAATTTTCAATACAAGGCCAATTCAACATGAATAAGACAGTAATTTAAAAAAAGAAACCCAACGAAATTAGTTGACTGTGTAACATAAGCCCAATATGCCCCAAAGCCCGGCCCACGAGCTCGAGGATCGAATTTCCGCCCGTACAGGTCAACAAACGCAATCCACACAGCCGAAAATGTCATGCACAATTAGCAGAGGGGCACACGGTATAGTTGAAAGAAAGGCAAAAAAAAAAAAAAAAAAAAACCCCAAAGGTCAACACGCAATTTTAGACCGAATATCAGGCTCGGTAAGGCGATATGCGTGTGTACACACAGTAAAAAAAAAAAAAATTTACGGGCCAATAAAAGTGTCGATTCCCCCCTAGATGAGGCAAAAAAGGTACAGGGTAAACATCGACTCCCTCACCTCTATTCTCTCCTCCTTGAGGTCGACCTGCAGGGCCAGCTGCTCTCGCAACAGCACGTCCGGGTAGTGGGTCTTGTCGAAGGTGGCCTCGAGCTGCTCGAGCTGTTCCTCGGTGAAGATCGTCCGGTGCCGGCGTTTGCGCTTGGCCATGGGCCCGATCGCGGCGGCGCCGCTCTGGCTCAGCTGGTACGGGTGGCCGCCGTGGTAGAAGGCCGCGTGTTGGCCGTGGAGGCCCGCCGCTGCCATCGCCGCCACGTAGCCACTCGGGTACAGTCCCGGGTACGCGGCCGCTGGAACAACAACGAGCTGGGTGAGATTTTTTTTTTTTTTTTTTTTTTTTACAAAGCGAAGGTACAAAGTATCAGGGGTTACTTGTAAAACACATTTCGACGACTCGTACGTACACGGTTGCGGCACTCTCGTCGCTAAGGGAAAGAAATGGGATAATGGTAATGCACGTTGTGCGCGTTTACGGGTGAAAGGGCGTTAAATAGAGAATAACAGAGAGAGGGAGGAGCAAAGAAAAATACGGAGCTCGCGATCCCCGGGGACGTTTTACGCGAGAGAGAAAAAAAAATATATACAAAGTCTCGGGGCATAAAAGCGGCTTACGCTGTATTACGCGGGCTCTGCGAGCTGTTACGCGCTTTTTTTTGCCCCCGACATTGGCTTGTGGGAATTTTTTTCTTTTTCCTAGATGCGCACTGATTATTTAGTATTTTGTGGGATGCGCGTGTTAGTATTGCGCGTTGATTTGACGTGGCTTGAGCTTTTTTGCGAGGCTTCGGTGTGGCGTGTACGTGTTTTATTTCAAATCGTTTTTACAAACATATTTTTCCCATCGAGCTGACAATCCGTGAAATATGGCATCGTGAGCCTTTGTTTTTTTTTTTTTTTTAATAAAAACGCGACCTAATTTTTACTGTTTCTCGTTGTGTCCCCAAACTGGAGGGACCGTGTGATTTTCCCCATTTCGGCAACACCTCGCCTCGATTTGCATGTTAACGGAGAGAGAAGAAAAAAAAAGTAATAATCCGCAAGCACCGAAGCGATTTCGCCAAGTAGGTACACTCGGATGCACCGAGCGCCCCAAAAATCTCCCCCGGGATTTTCGCCGAAAGACCTTTTTTCCCCGTCCATGCTTCTCCTTGGCTTTCCAGCCATCCTCCGAAATGCCTTTGCTTCGCCTCATGTATGTATATATACACGCGCGAGTAAAAGTAATGTATATACACACGAGAAAAGCCGGGAATCAAGGAATTTTTGCCACGAAGGACTTTGCTACGCTTGCGCTATTAAAAAATTCGCGCTCCCTCCGTTAGCTCAGCGTTCCCGAGTGTTTTAAGAAGATTTGCCAGGACGGCTGACGTGAAATCCTCCGGGGATTCTACGTTTTACGGAAAGGAGAAAAAAAAATAAAAGGAAAGGAAGCGATGAAATGTTGAAAACAATTTTTTAATGGCATTACAATGACATATTACAAGGTTATTTGTATTGGTGGAAATAAGGATTTACGATATATTTCATGATTTGGGGCGACTTTGGCACGTAGATCCAACGTTTTAAACGTAAGTTATCAATGAAACCAGCGGAGAAAAGTCACTTTGGACACAAAATTCTGCCTCAATTGATGAAAAAGAAAGAAAAAACGAGCCCTTGAAACAACGCAAGTACCCACCTATATTTATGTTAAAAAAAAAACACTAGTACAACGGTGCATGTATTATAATACCGACTCACCTAAAAAGTCGGCCGAGGTGAATGCGAGGTGGTGGAGCTGCTGCTGCAGGGGATGGCAGGCGGCGGCAGCCACGGCGTTCCTCACCACCGAGACCGCGGACACCGACTGATGAGCCGGCAAGCCACCGTTGGCCGTTACCTCGGAGTTTTGCTGCATCGCGGCTAGACCGGCGGCCACGGCCAAGCCCGCGGTCACGTTGGCCCCCATGGGCCGCGGCGCGAGTATACTGTCTATGGTGAAGAGAGAGGCGGCCGTCGCCGAGGAGCCACCCCCGGAGCTACCGCTCGGCGTCCTCGGGTGCAAGGTAGTGCCGGGGCGCGTCGGCTCGGGCGAGCGCGGGTAAAAGAGCCGCGTGGTCGGTTGGTAGGGGTGGTGGCGGTGGGCAAGACTCGGCTGGGGGACCGGCGAGGGCGACTTGGTCATCAGGGGCGAGCGGGACGAGGAGTCGGTGTAGCAGCCACTGCTCTCGACCATCGTGTCGCAAGCACCGGCCGACGGTGGCTGGTGGTGGTAATGGTGCAGGAGCGAGGGAGTCGCGGCTCGCGCCAGCCTATGTATATACACCCGTTGGGCTCCTCGCGCCGATGTCGCACCTGTCGCGGGTATCCTTCTCCTTGTGGTGGCGTTCACTTGCACCTTATTCTTTCACTCGGAGTCTCTTGGTCCAGCCCGCGACATTTTTCGCCCATTTGCACCGACTATATTGCACCGGACGATTTCTTCCGAACCACCCTTACGTGTACACGTACGAATCGTCCATTCTCTTGGGCAAAACTTTAGCCTCGTCACTGTAGCCTCGCGTTAAAGAATAATCACTCCGTGTATAGTTACTGCACCATGGTTATACCGACAGCCACCCCCTTCCGGTCAAACTTCCTCTACACGAGACGTGTGCGACAGCCCCAACGGGACTTTTCCTCAAAAATCCCTTGGTAAGATCGCCAGGAGTAGTACACCGTTGCAGCAGTGTAGTGGTAAAGGTTTTCTTGAAAACGCACTGCGCGGGAGCACAACTGGCGCGTATCTAACTCCCTAGCGTGGCATTTTCGTGTCCGCCTGCATCCCTTCCTCGCGTGTGCACGCATTCAAACGTGAACGTGTGCGTGAGAAAGAGCTGCAAGCGAGGCTCCTGTGTATATAATACGTGCGCGTATTTCGTGTGGGGGGGGGGGGGTGAACGACAAGGGTGGCGGACCGGGGCGTGGCCTCTTTCAGCCTTTCGCGCTGGATACCTACTATACGTATATACGTTACCTTGCATGTATATACGTATACGTACTCACCCTCCCGCGCCGATGCTGATGTTGTATAGAGCCAAGGCGTCCTCCGACTCGGTCGTCGTCCTATGCTCGCTTAGTAATTATTATCTCTTTCTTTTTTCTTTTTTTTTCTTTTTTTTTTCTTTTTTTTTTTTTTTTTTTTCATCAAAGGATGTAGGGGCTCATTGAATTTCTATTTTTTACTTTTCGTCGTTTCAGATTTCGGGAAGTAATTGCGCTATAGCCACAGCTTACGGTTCCATCGTCACTATTTTAAATTTTGGACGAGGCTCGCTTCCAAAGGATTGAATTCCTAAATGTATCTACATCATTAAACGTAAAGTTAAGATATCATTTTTCTCTCACATAAATTTCATACCGATTTCATAAAACGAGCCCTTTGAACAACAAAAACGAAAAAAACAAAAAAAAAGTAGTTTTATATCTCCTCTTATTTACAATAAACGCCAAAGCGCGTAAGAAACAATAAAAAAACCGGAGGGGGTGGTGGGGGACTTTCTCCTCTGAAACGCGTAATTGCAAGAGATGGAGAAGCGACGAAGCGTATACAAAATTGCCCGATAAAAAAAGGCGTTGCGCGACAGCTATAATACCTGATGTACACACACTCATCAGGGAGGACACTCCTCCCGTTCATATTAGCCGCGCGTGCTATATACATATATAATATGCAGGTGACATCTGCAGAGGGTACCTATCCTATATATGTATATATGCTGTTAGTCTGCGCCAAGGCGTGGCTTGTACCTTCGCTCGTGTATATACATGTATCGCGAGAAACCGCCCGCCACGCCCCACTCGTACTCCCCGCCACTTTTACCCCCCCCCCCACCCCCACTGCTGCATTTTATCCTCCCCCCTCGGATTTTCATGGGATATACGGATGTGGATGGAGGGAGGGAAAAAGGGGGCCGGCGCGCGAATATACATCTGGTTTATTGCCGTGATTTTCGTATAAGTACTCGTTGTACCGTATACATGCGATATTTATAGGTAAAACTTTTTGTGTATTTGACAGATCAGCGATTCGTACACGCCCCAGAGATCACCATGAATACTCGCTCGCAGCTCGCGGATGTGGATTCATATTCGAGAATATACGTGGATTACACGCGATATTGTTCACGAAGAATCCTGGATATATACGTATTTTATTATAAATGTAATATGCCAAGTGTAATCGACCCAGTGTAAAATACATACGTTTGTGTACGAGATGTATATATTATAGGGTTTTGCGCGCTCGTTAAACTTCGCGTATAGGAATTGATTTTCAAAATTCAGAAGCACGCGGATGCAGGTAACGGGACACCGATTTGATACATTAGCCCCGGGCTGTATCGGAATATTTTGTACGGGGTATCATCGTCCAAACCGATATTTTTCATGATTTAAACGCAAGGCAACACAACGGGTTGTATAACGAAATCGATGGGTTCACGCAGCGAAGTGGCAACAAAAGGAAGAAGCCCAAAGACGGTATATGATACACGACGTAGTTATTGCATAATACACCTCTATATACGTGTACGGAAGATCTTTCGCCAGGAGGAGGTTTGTGTCGCTTTTACATCAATCGACGACTGTAGGTGCCGTTGAGGCGTCCTTTTGTACAATTTTAGCGCGTATGATTGAGCAAAAATTGCTCGAACGTATGAATATTGTGCAAGTGGTACATGACTTTGGTTAAAAAGAATAAACAACAGTGATGGCTGAAGCAACAAAGGATTAGATTACATTAGATTAATTTGACAGACTAAGGACTCAGAGACGTACTCAGTGGTATTGTAGAGCCTAAGCCATATTACTAAATATTAGTGCCCAAAGACACCAACGGAATTATTGTACAAAGATAAAATAAAATAATAGTAATAAAGTGAACAAAAGATAAAAATAATAATCACAACATATGAATTACAGTGAAAAACCAGCAATTAGCGCGAATCGACAAATGCAAGCTGGTAGTATTTACAAAGGATGGACAATACCTATAAGAGGAAGATCATCATCACGTATCTCAAGCTTTACTAAACGAATGTTATTACATATATATATACCTACATTACATTTGTATACGAACGAGGGACCGAAAATCCAAAGGGAAATTCCGTCATCCCGTCTCGCGAACAATATAATATCAGAATCGCAAAAGCAGCTTGTACTCACCCGTACCCGTGTATGTTATTGTTCTCTTTTAACAGCGCGTCCCTCGCCCCGATCATCCGGGGCACCTAATAATATAAAACCGTTGTAAATGCGCATTACTTAGCCAGTTATGCCTGTATTATCATTGTTATCGCACATCGTGTCCAGGAGTAAAAAAAAAGAAAGATGAACAGGGAAGGGGCCGCGTGTATTATACGTGTGTGCTTCCTTCCTTCCTTTTTTTTTTTTTTTTTTTTTTTTTTTTTTTTTCATCCGCGTGAGCCAATCGAGAGCTAGAAGGTTGAGGAGGGGGAGACCTCACGGGTGTGAGTTTACTATGCCAGTAGAGCTTGCATTTGCCTCGCTATCTCTCACGCTTCGGCAAACACACATGTGTGTATACGTAAGTACGCCGAAGTGCCAACACAATAATCGTCGGGGCGCAGGAAGAGAACAGCCCTATATAGTGTTAACGCATGTACGGTCCCTCGTGTGCTTTCTTAGTAGCTTTGCCTGTGTGCACGTGATGTAGGTACTATATGGTGTCTTTTTTTTCCCTCCGCTTTAATACCGTATACGCGTTTCTCCCTTTCCTCCTTTTCACCGCCACTAAGTATGTGTCATTCGTTTACACGGGCACACGACTACTTAAGCTATTATAATACGCTCTGTCTGATGCCCCATGTGTTTTCGTACCTACCTATAAGGGACATACTTGATGCTTACCTGCTTAAAAGCTCGTGAAAACGGGGAGTGGCTCTTTTATTGCTCCATCGTAGGGGTTGCATGGGTTTTCTTGCACTCGATACATGCAATGATAATGGAACACGTGAAAGCCCCCAGTAAGAAAACATTTTTTTTTTTTTTTTTTTTTTCAATTTTAATGTGCGCTCACAACGCAAGCTTTCAAGACAAAAGATTCCTGCAATAGCCACAAAACACTGAACGAGAGCTTGCGAGTCACTTGAATTGAAAAAAATTAAAAGCTCGCCAAGCATCCGTGGGCTTGATTGTACGGGTTTTAAGAAAGTCAAGTTTTTTATTACGTGGAACAAGCTCTCGAGCTTTTTTTCAGCCCCGAGCTTACAGACGCACGCCATCAAACACCAAAACTTTCTCAACTTCCATAGTCTCCTAAAGCACAAATTAGAAAACAAAATACACAATCCTGATGATTTGAGCTTTTGAACAACTTTTTAGTCTAAAAACGTATAGAGAATAAAAATCTACGAATAACCTGTATTCATTCCAAATCAGAGCCAATGAGAATCATTTGAAACACATTCAATGATTTTTATAGCCTTTAATCAATAGCAGAGTATAGGATACATGGTTATTTATTCACGTAGATAAGTTGTAAAGTAATAAATATATATTTTTGTAGCAAGAACTGTAGATTTTGTAAAACTCGCTCTTTTGATTCACAAAGAGTACGTATGAGCTTGCGGTGTACGGGAATTGAAAGTATTATAAGTAACAGTACATACAGTTTTTAAAGCTCGACTTGCAATTTGGATGGTGAATCAGGTTGTAGAGCACCTTAAAATAAACGTGTTTTAAAAATGTTTTACGACTTGTACACTTTTCGGTCGAGAGTACCAATTTGGTTAACGCCAAAATGATTTAAGTATATACAATGCAAGTAATGAGCCACCACATCACCATCCCCTACACCAATACATCCGAAAATAACTCGCAAGCTCCTGGATTCATTATTCACGCCTTATACCAACGTTTTCCATTCGTGCTGATAACTATATGGTACATGTACCACGCATACATAAGTTTATTGGTACCCAATAGAACCAATGGTGCGATGAAATAAAATAATACCCGTACACCCTATGCACTGTACAGACCACAAATATTTATTCCATTTTCCTGATTCGTACATCCTGTATTGTACGATTTCTCGATACCCCCCGTCCGTATATAGAGCCAAAACTCACGGTGCAATATATATATATATATACCTTTTTATTCCATACCACGCATGCATATACATATACATTACGCACACGTACGCATGTGGCACGGCTTCGCCATTGC